CACGAGGTTGGCTGGCTTGTTGACGACGACGTCCTTGATGCCGAATTGTCTCCAATCCTTCAGGAGCTGGGCGACTTCCTGGCGGGCGCGGCGCTTCGTAAGGTTGAAGCACAAGTAGCTCGTGGCGGGCTTGACGAGGAAGAGACGCGCGAGCCAGTTCTGCTGGGGCTCGATCTGGCGGGATGGGTCGTCGCGGTAGTTTACCAGCTTGGGTTGGTAATAGTTCACATCGTCGCCGATGGATTCGGTGCTCCTGTTGTCATTGTACAACTTGAATGCTGCTTTTGTGTTAGTAGATGTGGTAAAGGGGGAAATATTTGTGAACTTACCTCCAAGTGGCAGGCCCTCCTCTTCCTTGGGGCCGAACTTCTTCAAGAGATTGCCAAGGTTGAAACCCTTCTTCTTTGGGTCGGGGAGACAATTCGGGTTGATCTCTACTTCTCCGGGTGCGAACTGGCTGTCCTCTTGCTTGGAGTCACGCTTGTACCAGGCGGTCTTCTTCTTCTTGGTGGTGCCGAAACCAGTACGCTTAACACCATCATATCTGAATGGGTCGACATCGTTCTTGCTCTTTCGGCCTTTAGACTCGGTAGAGAAATTTGGTGCGAGCTGCTCAAACTTGGTGAACGTATCTTTGGCGGCATTCAAAGCGCCAGTCATCAATGGCGTCTCCACCGGCAGCGGAGGCAGGGGCTGGGTCGGAGGTGGAGTCGGAGGTGGAGCTGGCCTCTTGACCTTGCGAATATTAAGAGGTGCTGGCATCTTGACTGGGCTCGAGGAGAGAGGCACAGCTCTAGCAGTGACTGGACGATGGTCAGGATTCGTAACCACGAGCTCACGCTCGTTGTATCTCCCATTGTAGGGCTCGGGAGCAGATCCCATTCGGTGAGAAGCCACTCTGTTCGTACGCTCACGATGAAGGTATTGCCCATAGCCATCGCTACGCTCCGATGTTCTGGCGCGAGAGTAGTTCTGCGGGTTTGGCAATGGCCTCGGACCCTCGATACCTCTACCACTCGTGGTGGTTGGGTTTGGAGCTGAGGTGGTTCTTCTCTCACCTTCGCTCAGGTAAGTCTGGTTTGGCAGCATGAGGCGATCAATGTGGGAGACCATCCGATTGATGTAACGAGGAGAGTGGACTCCATCGCCGGTGACTTTGCGGCTGTGAGCAGCTCTACGGGCCTCAACAAGCTCTTCTTCCACAGACTCGGATCTCTTCGGTGGGACTGGCAATGGTCTGCTCTCATACACCGACTGGCGGCCAATTGGATTTGCGGCTTCCCACTGTTTCAGTTGGAAGAGCGATGGATCGGTGTCCGTATTTCCGCGTTCGAAGGACGTGAAGGGCGTAGAGTAGTGGCTATCAGAGCCGTAATCAGCTGAGCTTGAGAGCATCGACAAACCATGCGATCTATTGAATGCTTCATCACAATCTTTCGCCAAGCTGCTGCTCACCTGGCGCACATCCTCTTGGGCACGTCTGTAAGCCTGAGGCAATGGATGAGCAACTGTACCCGCCTCCTTTCGGGATCGGAGCTGTGCGATCACATTTGGTGAATCCTCGGGAACTTCTTCCATGAGCTTGGAGCGCAGTCTATTTCTCTCATTGGCCTCGGTCTCGGATACAGTTCGCATAGCCGGGTGACGCATGTTGGTGAAGCTGACCCCACGCTTGTATCTCTGCCCAGCGCGAACAGGGTTGCCTCCACTCTTCGTAGAGCTTGCAAGAGAGCTGCGTGAGGCATAGACTCTGGGGCGAGCCAAACCTGGTTGCATTGCGTAGCGATTGCTCGATCTTGAGCCTCCCACACGGGAGATCTGTGTATCCTCCTGGAGACGGGAGATGGGGTTGCGGTGAATGACAACCTTGGCATGTGTGGTTCCGTTCATTGTAAGATTCTGGTGTCTGGAATCTTTGAACGGATCGTAGCTCTTGACGGTCTCTCCAGACTCAGTCTCGGCATAGCCGCTGCTCTTCCTAGCATGGCCTCTCTCGACTCTCTCGCCGGTGTTGCTGACGACAGTGAATTTCGAGATCTGTCGTTTGTAGCCATTGGGGCCTGGGCCTGTTTGGGTAAACTGGCGAGTAGAGAGCTTCTTGATTTTTGAAAGAGGGCGGACATGGTGGTAGTCGCTGTTGGAATAGCCAATTTCAGGTGTATAATTCTCCAGCTGATTGTCACGGTGCTTCAGGAAAAGGCCATAAAAGAGCTTCTGGTCGTTCGGGTTGTCATCCAAAAGCAAGGTCACGAGCTGTTTATCTTCAAATTGATGCCACAAAGACTTTAGATGGCGCATGATCTCTTTGTCGATGTCGCTCACTCTATCAACTGGGCGCTCACAATATTGAACGTCAGGTGATCTGGGATTGATACCTCCTCTGTAGGTATCGAGATACTCATACTTCTTGATGAGAGGGTGTCTCCAGATCTCGTTTATGCTAATTCTCTCACGAGGATCAACCTGCAGCATGCGCTTAATGAGATCAGCTGCTTCTGGTCCAATGGCATTGGCCATCCGATAATTGCCTTTTTGGATAGCTTGGAGAAGGCGTGGCACAGATGGGTGGTCGAATGGCAGGCGTCCTGACAAGGTAGCATAGAGGATAATACCCATGCTCCAAATATCAACTTTGTCACCTCTATATGGGACTGCCTTGATGACTTCAGGTGCCGCATAGTGAGGGCTTCCACAAGAAGTGACGAGGCGGTGCTCGGGGGTTTGCTGGAGAGCAGCCATACCAAAGTCTGCAATCTTGATCTGGCCATCCTTGGTGAGAAGGATGTTCTCTGGCTTGAGATCACGATGGCAAATGTTGAACTGGTGGCAGTATGACACCGCACTCATAAGCTGTCTGAAGTATTTCATTGCTTCTTCTTCAGGTAAAAGCCCACAAATGCTGATGTGGTCAAAGAGCTCGCCATTGTCGACATACTCAAGGACAAGGTAGCTGATGACTGTTAGCGGTGGCACATTTATGACGGGTGCAGAACTATACTCACATCTCGGTACGATTCTCCCAGATATCATATAGTCTCATGATATGAGGGTGCTCAATGAGCTTCATGATGGCAACTTCTCTCTCGATGCCATATGGCATTCTGCGGTTCTCGCCTGAATCTTTCACCTTTGCATCTTTCTTGTTGAGAGATGCCAGACTACCAGCCTGTGACAACAGTGCACTTTTCTTCTGCACGATCTTGACTGCTGCTGGCTGGCCGGTAACAGCGTGCTTTGCCATTCTAACTCTCGCAGTTGCACCCTTGCCCAAGGTCTTCCCAAGATGCCATGGTCCAATGTGTGTTTTGCGGCGTCTCTTGCCATCCGATGCATTGGTGGAGGCGTTTGAAATCAGAGAGTCTCGGTTGGGTCTGTGAACTCCATCCCCATTTGCGATGGCAGATAGGCGAGGGTCAACGGCATTAGTGGGGCGAGGAGTTATGATAATTTTGCGTTCTTGCACCGATTCGGTGTCTGACTTGTTGTAAGTGTTTTCTTCCTCATAAATTGCTCTACCATTGTGAGCCATTGTTTCTGGTATCTTGCCCAGCGGCGAGGGATATGTTGTGCGAGTATTGTTGACGCGGGATGTGGCGTCCCCAAGAGGTGGCCGAGCAGTAGATGGCCGACGATAGTTTGAGGTGCTCATGTTTCTTTTTACTTGTGCAGAGACATGATGAAGGGGGGATAGGCAACGACAATGTAGCTTTCAGGCTTTGTGTCCTTGGACTTGGGTTCTGTATTGTTGGCCTTGAAGAAAATAGGGTGATGTTGTACACCGTCGTCGCTATGCCGACTGGTCGCTATGGCAGCGGCGATCTCCCAACGAAGACAAGAGAAACAATCAAAGCAGTCTATTTGAGAAGCTCCAATTGTATTGATCTGTATTTCTATCTATGGTATTAGCAAGGAATGATCTTATTTACTAATTTCAGCATTGCAGTACTCAAAATGTTGACTGCTGAATGTGAAGTTGGAATCGGTGATCTGTAATCAGTGCTTACCTTCAGTCCCAGTCTTGGGCAGTATGCCCTTTGATAATTGCTTGCACTGAGTAAAGAGAAAGGTGGAATAAGGATTGATGGCACGTGACAAACACGTGACCAGATGAGGTTGTCGAGGAAGTTTGTGGTGTGGAGTGAGGGTATCGTGGTAGGGCAAAGAAAGGAAAGGTTTAGTGGGTTGTTTACCTTCAATGTGAATTCGAACGCCGAAGCGAAGGGTACGGAGGAGGTCCAACAGATAATCCGAGTAAGTAGCCAGTAGGCAGACTTTGCCATATACACTTGTGCAGCTTCGATTCTTCCCATCCCATGACCAACTTACTAAGAATGCCCAGAAGGTTGGGGATGGTTTTGTAATACAGGGAACGATGATAGTCATGTGCAGAACAGTTACACTCTTCAAACTTGAGAGACTTCTCTATGGTGAAAAGGAAGTGCTTTATACTCAGCCATATACTGCAACTACGGTGGTACCGTGCGTGGAACTCCTATCACTCTCTCCTCCAGTACGGTATGGAATCTCCCCGTAATTTGACATGAGAAGGGGGCAGCAAGGACCCAACGGCAAAGAGAGCAGGATATCTCAATATATACAGACTATTCTCTATCCCATGCATACAATAATATATGAATATAGAAATCAACGACGAGTTGGACAAGGCGAGCATAAGCTGCATGGCCGTATCCTCTTCTAACCGTGCGTAAACAGAGATAGTAAAGAGACACAAAATACTACTCTGAGCACTACACAGAGTACATGAAAAATAACCTTAATAAATAATATAGAGTACCTACTACGTGGAATATTGCAATAAATTATAAAAGAAAATGACATACCGAGAACTGTCGTCGTCTCTAAAATCTTGGCACTCTAAAGCGGTGTTCCTGGCCGCCCCACCAAAACTGTCCCCCTCGCTCGTCCGATGGTACGTACAGCCAATCATGCCCCACCACTTTCGGTGCCCTGCATCAAATCATCTACGCGTCTCCTATCGCGTCTCTGGTGCCCCAAGCGCGATAACCTCAAAATTCAACGTCCGGGTAAAACATATTTGTTGCCTCATCGCCAAAACGAACAACGATGCCGTCACTTTCGACAGGCAACCGTCGCCGGCGGGTGCCTGATCCCGAAAGTAGCGATGAAGGGGACGACTCTCCCGCGCCGACGAACTCCAGAGTGTCCGGCGCATCGAAACGCGCGAGAACAGGACTAGATTCTTCACAACTCTCTGACGACGGCCTAGATCAAAGCGCAATGAATGGCATAGCTCTCCGTCAGAACGGAAATGGCCACAGCCAGGACGGATTCCAGCCTGGCGCAATCACGAGAGTCAAGGTCAACAACTTCGTTACCTACGAAGACGCCGTTTTCAACCCAGGGCCCAACCTCAATATGGTTATTGGACCGAACGGCACAGGCAAGAGCTCGCTGGTCTGTGCGATCTGTATCGGCCTTGGGTACGGTGCGGCCAACCTCGGACGAGCGGCGAAGTTCAGCGAATTTGTGAAGCACGGCAAGGACCAGGCTACGATCGAAATCGAACTACAAAGAAAACCCGAAGATCGCTCGAACTATATAATCAAAGTCCGCATTACAAGAGAAGGCGATAAACGGAAGTGGTGGATCAACGGTTCCGAAGCACCTTTGAAGAATGTACAACAGTTGGTCAGAGGGCTTGGGATCCAGGTCGACAATCTGTGCCAGTTCTTGCCTCAAGACAGGGTCTCTGAGTTTTCTGGGCTTAGCCCAGTAGCGCTTTTGCATGAAACCCAAAGAGCTGCGGCGCCGCCCGAGATGCTTACATGGCATGACGAGCTCAAGAACTTACGAAAGAACCAGAAGGGAATCCAACTCAACCTCGAAACCGACGAAGAGACGTTGCGTACACAAGAGGAGCGCCAGGAAGGTCTTCGCGGCGATGTTGAAAGGTTGCAGGAGAGGGCTCAAATACAAGAGAAAATCGCATTACTTGAATCGAGCGTCCCTTTCGTCGACTACAACGTTAAGAGACGTCATTATATTGAGTGCAGGGAAAGAGCAAGAGAAGCAAAGAATCAACTCGTAGCTCTAGAGGCAGAATTTGCCCCAACGGTGCAAGCAGTTAATAATAAGGAAGAGTACCATCGCCGAATCGACGTGGCTGTAAAGGAGCGGAAGAAGGATCTCCAAAATTCAGAGCGTGCGGCAGACAATTTCTTTGCGCAGGTCGAAGAAGCGAATGAGAGCATCAAGGAGCTGGAGCAGAAGGCCAAATCAGAACGGGATGGAGAGCAGAAACGCAAACAGCAATATGCCGCCATAAAAGAAAAGATTGCCGCTTTGGAAGCCCAGTTGAAGAATGAGCCGCCAGCGTTTGATGGGCCGGAATGGAATGCCAAAATTGTAAGTTGCTCACCGATACAGAAGCGAAGCCAGATCTAACTATCTCCCATAGAGAGCTGAGGAGCATAAATGTCGCGAAATCGAAGCCGAGCAACGCCAGGTGACCGAGAAACGCGAGGATCTCGACAGACAAGGGCTTGATGTTAGAGCTCGTGTTGCTGAGAAGGAGCGGGAGCTCGCCACTCTCAACTCTCAGCAAGGTAAAAATATCAGCTTGCTCAGAAGTATTTCCAGAGATGCGGCAACGGCATGGGAATGGATTCAGGCAAATCGCAGCAAGTTCGAGAAGGATGTTTTTGGCCCACCACTCATTGAATGCAGGGTCAAGGACCCCCGATATGCCAATGCCATTGAATCTCTTTTCCAAAAGAACGATTTCATGGTCATCACAGCACAGACAAGCGCAGATTTCAAGATATTAGACGAACAGCTGCTGGGAGCCTCTAACCTCAGGCTTGCTGATATCAACTTGAGGACTGTATCTAGGAGCCTTGGCCAAGTCCGAAATTCACCTATGCCGACCCATGAGTTGGAGAAACTTGGCTTGGATGGATGGGCCTTGGATTACGTCGATGGCCCTGAGCCAGTCCTTTCAATGTTGTGTGGCGCCGTGAGGCTAGACAGAATTGCAGTGGGACTGAAAGATCTGAACGAGAGCCAGTATAATGCTCTCACATCGAGTGCCGTATCAACTTTTGTTACAGGACGTTCTCATTACAGTGTCCAGCGTCGCCGAGAATACGGCCCCGGAGCTACGTCAACGACCACAAAGTCTATACAAAATGCTCGTTACTGGACCGGCCAGCCTATCGACACCAATGATAAGCATGAACTTGAGGAAACACTCAAAGGTTTGCGGGAAAACTTTGACGTCATGAAGGTTGAATCTGGTGGGCTAAAGGAGAAACTACGCGTGTTGGGCGAGCAAAGAAGTACCATCTTGGAAACAATAGTAAGTAAACCTGGCCCTCGTGCTACCGGATTTTTTACTCACTATGTCTAGAAAATTCTCAAGGCCAAGAAGAATGAAGCACAGTTAATTGCCGGGCGGTTCCAAGCGCTACCAGGCAAAATAGGTATGCCGGTCTATCCCCAATCGCTTTTGACACTCCTGCTAACGTGCTCACAGAGCGAGAGAAAGAGAACTTCCAAGCAGTGAAGCTAGTCAGTGACAACTACCGTGCGCGGATGCGAGAGATCGAGGCTCAATCCGACGAGCTCGTCCTCAAGAAAAACGCCTTATCCATCGACTACAAAGCCCTCGTCCAAGGCATCCGCACGGCGCATCTCTCCCTCCAAGAAGCCAAATTCCGCCTCATCGAAGCCGCCTCCGACGTCGAATCGCTCAAAGAGCACTCCTCCAACATCACGCGCCGCGTCCAGGAAGAGCGTCAAAACTACGAGCGCGCAAACGAAGAATACAAGAACGTCAAGGCGCAAGCCATCGCCGTCCACAACCAGTGCATATCCATCCTCGCCGAGGGGAACAACAAGGAGTACTTCGAGACCATCGATAAGGACCTCACCATCGAGCAACTAGAGCAGGATATCGACGCCGAGAAGTCAAAACTCGATTACATCCATGACGGCAACCCGGGCGCCCTCCGCGAATTCGAGACCAGACAAGCAACCATCGACCGCCTCACCGCGACTATCACCTCCGCGCGCGCCGAGCTCACCTCAGTCGACGCCTCGATCGCATCTCTCCGCTCGCGATGGGAGCCCGAGCTAGACAAACTCATCGCCTCCATCAGCGCCGCCTTCGCGCACAATTTCGAGCAGATCGGCTGTGCCGGCGAAGTCGGCGTTCACAAGGACGAGGACTTCGACCTCTGGGCTATCGAGATCCGCGTCAAGTTCCGCGAGAACGAGACACTGCAGCAGCTGGACCAGCACCGTCAGAGCGGCGGGGAGCGCAGCGTCAGCACGATTTTCTACCTGATGGCGCTGCAGAGTCTGGCGAGGAGTCCGTTTAGGGTTGTGGATGAGATTAATCAGGGGATGGATCCGAGGAATGAGAGGATGGTGCATGAGCGGATGGTGGATATTGCGTGTAGGGAGCATACGAGCCAGTACTTCTTGATCACGCCGAAGCTGTTGACGGGGCTGAGGTATGATAGGAGGATGAAGGTGTTGTGTATTGCGAGTGGGGAGCATATGCCGAGGGATCACAGGACGCTGGATATTAGGTCGGTGATTGCGAGTCGGAGGGCGATTATGATGCCGGTGAGGTGAGGGGTAGGGTATGATGGGGACGAACGGACTGTGGTTGGGGTTGAGATGGTGGGCATGAGTTTGGCGCTTGGAGTTTGATGTATAGCGATATGATAGATACCAGGGTGGTCTGTTTTGCAGCGAGCGTCCGGGACATGGAATGTTTTGCTTGCTGGGTCGTCGATTTCAGGGGTTTTTATCACGAGGCTCTAAGATAATATAACGAGAATACGGTTTGTAAACATAGAAGAACAGCTCTGAAGGATCAAATGATTTCAATCCCTCCCTCCTTTCGCAGTCAAACCCCCAATGATCGTGTATTACCCCCCTTCCTCAGCCTCCCTTCCTCAGCCTCCCTTCCTCAACCTCCCCCTTCCCCATGCCACCCGCCCACCCAACTAGCGAAACGCCCACCCTCCTTTCCCAACCATAACAATCCCCAACCCAAACCCGCAACCTCTGGCCCCCAACCCATCTAGCGAACCACCCACCCCCTTATAAACCCCCTTTAACCCCCCTCCTCCCAGCGGCACAGTGGCGCAGTGGTAGTACCACTGTCTGGACAATCTGGCCAGCGGAGGATAAATAAAGGGGATATGGGTTCGGTTCCCGGCGAGGGAGGGAAATGGATGGATAGAAAGAGATTTGGAAACGAGCGATTAACGACAATAACAAACTACAAAAAGTAAAATCATAAAAAGATGATTTTCTCCCTCATCAGATATCAAAATCGAAAGGATATCTGATGAGTATTTTGCATTTTTGACCTTCTGACTTACCTTTTTTGTTTATAAGTCTTGCACGCACCTTTTTGTTGAGCCCCCTCTGAATCAATCAATCAATCAATCTTTTTGCCTTAGTTTGTTACTTCGCTGTGATGGAGGTGAAATTGTGAATAGGGAGAAGTGACAACCTTTGCAGTATCAACACAACAGCTTGGACACGACAGCCAGCAAGGAACACAATACCTCTTCGAACACAACAGCACGAACAAACACAACGCCTAGAACGTAACAGCAAGAATAAACACAACGCCTCGGCGAGCACAAACGCCTCAAACCAAACACAACAGTCCGCCTGACTGCAACATCTCAAACAAAAACACCACCTTAAAATCAACAACACAACAAATCAAAATCCAAAAGATCACCAACAACAACACACAATTACAAACACGCGGAAAGATCTTGTTACTATGATTTAAAGGTATCTTTTTACTCCTCCCAACAACCCACCCACCACGCACGCACGCCGTACACCTAAGCTCACCTATATATCTCATTCCAATCCCCCTCCGGCAGCAAGCGCCATACCCACCACAACCGCAAGCAATCAAGCCTCCTACGCCGTCTCGCCCTCTTCCGGTCTGCGTGCCGTGAGGACATAGCTATTTTCGTCAGCCGTGCTCTTTTTCCACAACACAATTTCGTCCCATTTCCTGCACACACAACAAGCCGAAACCTCGGAACGAACAGGGGATTCGAGGTGGGGAAGAGAGAGAAGAAGAAGATAAGAAGAAAAAAGAAAAACTCACTAAGGCCACCAACCATGGATCCCCCTATCCTTAACCTCCTTCCTCACATTCACCAAGAACACCAGCACTTCCTCCTCCGTCCACCCAAGCGCCTTCACAAAAACCCTCATAGTCATAACCTCCATCCCGCTCAACAGATTCTCCATCTCCCACGCCCCGAGGACCTTCATCCGTGTATCCTTCGGCCACGTATTAATGGGCAGTTTAAAGATCTTGAGGTTTATATCGACGAAACCGCGCTCTTCGAACCAGCCCTTCCAGCGGATGGGGTCATCAATGGGGGTGCCGAACATGCGGGAGGAGGTGATCAGGTTGGAGGCGAATTGCTCGAGGGCGCCGCCGGGGGGGACGGTGTTGTCGTCGCTGCCAAGGAGGGCGGTTACGGCTTGGAATTCTACCCAGCCGCCGGGTTTGACGTGGCTTGGGGGGTGTTAGTTTTGGGGTTTATCGCGGGGTAGATGGTGGGGCTGGGGAAGGGGGGTGGGGGGGTGGGCATACGTGTAGCATTGGTCTATCAGCTTAGGCCAGTCGCGAATGCAGTAGATGAGGTCGCGGAGGAAAATGAGGTCGAAGCTGTTCTTACTCCACATCCAAGGCTCTTCCATGTCGTCGAGCTCGAAGCGGCAGTTCGGGGGGACCCTGGTGGTTGTTAGTACTTGGGGGCCAAAGACGGGGATCAGGGGTCGTGTGTTGTGGTGGGGGGGTTACCATTCTGGTTGGGTGGGTGCGATGTCAACTCCGATGACCTGGGTATGTTAGATCATGATATCGATATAGTGGGTAGCTGGGGAACTCACCTCAGCGGATGGGTATTCATCGGCGACATCGATACACCAAATTCCTAAACCAACATATCAGCCACGCCCCTACCAACATTCAGGATCAACCCACCAGTTCCACAACCCAAATCCAAAATCTTCTGCGGCGAATCGCCAATCGGTGCCAAGAAGCGTTTTTTCTCAAGGAGCCCATAGTACTTGGCATGCGACATATCCAGACGGTTCAACTCCGTGTCGTCCATTGGGAGTCCATACTCTGCGATACGCCGGTGTGGTCAGCCGGTGTTCATTGATGAGTTAGGGGACGCATGGGTGCGCTGCTTACCCTCTTTCCCATACACCGCGTACGTCCTGCCGCCCTCGGCGACCTCGCCGCGCAGCACAGACGAAGTTATGGAGGTGAACGCGCTGCCGCCGGCAGAACTACCAGAATCAAAGGCCTGGATCGCGGCACGTTAGCATCCACAACATAGCTACCCGCTTCACAGCCAGCAGAGTGGGGTTGCAGCAGGTGTCTTACCTCATCATCGAAGTCCGCGAGCGCATCATTCTGCGACAATAGTTAGCAGCTGCGTGCGGGAAGTGCGGGAGGGCGAGGTGGGGCCATGAAACCGCATCGTGTCTTGTCAGAGAGGGACGTCAAAGTCTCTCTCCCTAGCATCGTATGCGTCTCTTAGTTAGCCTCCACCCACAGCGCTAATGCTCACCTCGTCCACCACGATCTGGTGTTCCTGCTCCTCGACGGGGTGAAGCTGAGCGGCAGTAGGCTCGGCAGTGGTGGTGGTAGTGGCTACAGGTTCGGCGGTAGTAGCGGTGGTTGTGGTGGCTACAGGTTCGGCAGTTTCAGCGGCGGTTGTAGTGGCCACAGGAGCGGGCGTTTGGGCCGAGGCTGCGGCGGCTTGCGCCAGCGGTTCGGTCATGGTCTGTCAAGGTCGGGGAGAGGGGTATAATGGAGACAAAGGGATCTGAAGGGGGAAGGGAGAGGGGGGGGAGGGAGTAAGAAGTAAGATCGATGGAAGGGTCGTAGTAGTAGGTAGTGGTGGTGGGCGCGTAAGATGCGATTCAGTTGTCGCGACGGCGGACAGCGATAAAATCCGGTACGGCTCGCACCTCCCGCAGGACAGATGGCATTGAGTTTCGTTCGGCCGTGGCAGGTATGACGATGGATTGGCTAGGATTTAATGCCCGCGATGGTAATCCCCGCAAGGATTAACGGTGCAAACGGGTAGGGATGTGGGATCTGGTGGGCGAGGAAGGGTGTTGCATGTGTTGCAGTGTTTATGCAGAGTAATGTAGAGATTTCCCCGGCTGCATTCCGGTTCGTTGGCCGTGGATGGTGGAGGGGGAGTGTTAATCTATGGAGGGGTGGGTATTATGTAGGTAGGTTTGTGTGTGTACGACTATACGAGTTATGTGTTGCTCGTATATAGAGTATTGATATCTTGTTATTGAGGTAAATAGTAGTTATTGTTAGTATAGTGTTGTAGGTGGATATTATTGTATGTAGGAAGGTATAAAAGGACAGGTATAGGATGGGATGAACGGGTGGTGAGAGAGGAGGGGTTTAGAGGGTTCAAAGAGGGGTCTGTGTGCAGATTGGGGTGGTTTTCTATGGCTTTGAGGGTTTTGTGTGGTTGTTTTGTGATGTGTTGTCCGCGGCGGAAGTGGGGTTATCGGCAGCGTAGAGTAGCTAAAGGGAGCTAGAGTGGACTAGAGTATCGAGATAGATGCTAGTGGTAGCTAGAGTAGTATTAAGTCAGACCGATGAGGCACGTGGGCGGGGTATTTTCGTGTAGAGGGGTTAGAGAGGGGTATCCTAGGGTTATCCCTGATAATGCTGATGATTCTGATATGCTGAATATGCATGTTTACGGGTACGTATGCGTCTGTTATGGCTATGAATGCCTGCGATTGGAAGGAACGACTATGGACCACGTCGCCGCTGAAGAATTGCTGTGCATAGTACTCGCTTTAGGTTTAAACGGTAAGCTCCACTGAAGAATATGCAACAGGGTCATGGCGTATGCATTTGGATCTGATCCAGCCACTGTTACACGGGGGATTTGCAAGGGTGAGCGTATGGGTGGTGTAGGGGTGGTTGTATGGGTGGTGTATGGGTGGTGTATGGGTGGTGTATGGGTAGGTGAGTATATACCGAGTCGTAAATAGTGTGCCATATGACCGTACTTATATGAGTGATCAAAAACTGGGAAATGGGTTAGATGGTGGTTGGTATGTCTAAGGTTGATCTACTGTGCTAAGCTTGCCAGTAGTCCTCTAGTAGCCCTCTAGCAGCCCTCTAGTAGTCCTCTAGTCAGAAGAAGTAGAAGGGAGTACTCGGCTAAGGAGGGGTCAATCAGCTCGACTAGCTCCACAGCCCTTCGGAGTGTGTGCGGAGTTTAGCTATAGTAGCTATAGTAGTGTACACCACTACAGATCGGAGGAGAGGGCCAAACAGGGGATCGAGCAAGCAACCTCGGGGGTTAGGAGTGGAGTGGAGAGTCCAGAGTCAATAAAACAGGCTACGAGACAGACTACGACTCAGACTACACAGGCCATGGCTGACTACGACTCAATACAACACCATACAGCTCGAAATGACAGGCAACGACAGGCTGGAACTGCCTCGGACAAGACACGCCCACTGGCTCCCTGCAGGATGCATCTGAAGCAAGAGTCTCGTTCACTCCCACCATCCACGGCAAGGCGTCGTCCCAAGACATCCCATTCCGTCCCTCCCTCCCGTCCCTACCGCCCCATGTCGTCCTCCACTATCGCCCACTCCCACCCACCCGCTAATTCACCTTCACATCCGGTCCCCCCCCCCAATAACTGAGACCATCCCACCGCTCTCGCTCGCAACCCACCTCCCCAAGCACAGACTTCCTCAACCACGCTGTCGGTAATCCAAACAACTCACTCCCTTGCACACAACACACTGCCAAAATGACGGAACCAGCATCATCTCAAGATCACAAAATCAACAGCGCCCTCGTCGAAGCCGAGAAGCTAGTCGCGCAGCTCAAATCCTACACCGGCACCACCGCGGAGCACCTCGCCCTGCTCACCCAAAATGAGGCGATCCGCACTCAGCTCGAAGAGCCTTTCGACTCCGTGAACCGCCTTCTCGAGGAGCTCGCCCTGACCGGCGCCCTCTACATGGCCATCGAGATCGGGATCCTGGACAAGCTCCCCGCCGACGGGAGTTCCGTCAGCGCCGCCGACCTCGCGGCGGCTGCTAATGTCGATATCTCGGCTGTCACGCGCTGCATGCGCGTTTTGGCTAATAAGAGCTTCGTTGTTGAGACGGCGGCGGATGAGTACAAGCACAATGCGCTCTCGCAGGTGTGTCGCCCTGATGGCCTCGGCGCGCTGTTTTTGCTCAGTATGGACCTGCATAAGGGGTGGGCCGCGCTGCCGGAGTACTTCAAGACGCATGCGCCGGAGGATTTGTACGATCTGAAGAAATCGCCCATCGCGTACGCGGTCGGGAAGGAGGGGCTGTCGTACTACGAAGTCCTAAACCTGGATGTTACGACGAGGAATATTTGGAACAAGGCTATGCAGGTTGCCGATAAGGCGATGCCTATCCTTGGGATGTTCCCGTTTAAGGAGATGAAGGAGCAGGTGGAGAGGGAGCCGGAGAGGGCGTTCGTGGTTGATATGGCTGGGGGGAGGGGACAGGCGCTGTTGGCGATCCAGGAGGAGTGTCCGGGTGGATTCGGCGGGAAGTTGATTCTGCAGGACTTACCGATCGTTATTGACTCGCTCGCGCCTGAGGAGATTCCTAATATTGAGGCTACGGTTCATGATATCTTCACCCCGCAGCCAGTTAAAAGTAAGCTACCCCTCCCTCCCCCTTCCCCCCTCCCCTGTCACGGTCATGTGAGTCGGAAGAACGCCCGCGCTAACTCGCACCCCCCCCTAGACGCACACATCTACTTCATGCGCCGCATCCTCCACGACTTCTACAACCCCGTCTGTCTCGAGATCCTACGCAACACCGTCCCCGCCATGGGCCCTGACTCGCGCCTCATCGTGTGCGACATGGTGATCCCGCAGCCTGTCGAGGTTGGGGGGAATGCGCATCCGTACTGGATGGATTTCTCGCTGATGCTGATTAGTGGGAAGGAGAAGACGATGAGGGAGTTTGAGGGGATGTTTGAGGAGGTTGGGTTGGAGCTGGTGAAGGTTTGGCCGTCGGTGTTGGGGGCGACGGTTATGTTGGAGACGAGGTTGAAGAGGTAGATAGTCGTTGGGGATCGGCGGGGGGGGGTGTTTTCAGGATGATAGTGATATGTTTTCAGGATGATAGTTCTTGGTTGGTTATCATATCGATCTCATTTCTTCGCAGACTAATTGACTCGTTTCCACGTGCTATCCTCCACTTCGTCTCTACATCCTCCTGCTCAACAGAAAACCAATTGTAATCCCCCTCTTCTCAAATAATTTCACGACACAACCCACATCCCAATATCCCGCACCACGATAGCAATTCAGCCTGTACAACCGAGCATGCAGATGCATGACATGCATCCCCCCATCACAGCTACGCCACCATCATCTCATCCCATCTCCCCCCACCACCCTGCATCGGAGGGAAACTCCGATCCCGCACACAACACACCATAGCATACTTTACCATCGCGATATATTAACGATCTTCTAGTGGGGCAGGCTGTTTCGAAATTGGATGTTCGTCTGTTCATTATTTGGTTCGGCCTTTCCCTCGAGCTTACCCCGCCGGGTGGGGGGGTGAGCGGGTACAGCCGGTGGAGCTAGTTTGGGGGGTTGGGTGCTGATCGTAGAGATGCTGTGCTGGATGGCGGCGAGCTGCAGATTGAGGGTTTGTTATGGCAAGAATGATAAAGGGGAGGGTATTTGAGTGCAAGAAACGCGTATATTTTGTCTGGTCTGTTATGTTGGATAAGAGTGGTTTATGGGTATAATTTGTAAGAAGTGATTTTGAATATTTGCAATTATTTACATGATATTTTATCAGATATCCCCCAATAAAAATAAAAACTACACAAAAACCAAACTTTAACCTCCACCCTACCACCAATGCAAGCTTCGCTGGGCTCCGCCAGTACCCGACAGAGCACCGCATGAACGTAACTGTAATTATATTCAGAGCTTGGATCAGGGGAAAAAGATACCATTCCCCCCAAGGTCGTCCAGAAAACACGTGCCACCACAACCCCGCCAAAAGCGGTGAGAGCGGACACGATGAGGCAAAATCACCAAATTAGTCCTAGCGTAACTACTCTAGATCGATAGCTGGGCCGCATGGCATAAAGTCGCGTCGTTGGTGAAAGGGTCTGGGCTAGTTACTATAACGAATTCCAGTACGACGTAACCTTGACGACTATATTCAGAATTCTCCTGCCGACAATCAGACAACTACTGGGTAGAAGCGGCTTGAATACCCAAACGGGAGATATTTATAAGGAGAATCCGGAAATAAATACAAAGGCATAGTCGCGATGGCGAAAGAAAAATCTATAAACCCAGCGCAAGCCCAGCGCAAGGCCGAGAAAGCTAAAGCTGTCAAGAAAGGTATCCTCCCCCCTCCCCTCCCCCCACCCCCTCCCATTTCACTCCCCAGCAACACCGGCTAACCCCCTTCCCCCCACAGGCAAAGCAGAAGCCCAAACCCGCCGCACCGAGAAGCTCGCCCGCCGCAACCCCGAACGTCTCCAAACACAGCTCTCCTCCCTCCTCGCCATCGAGTCTTCGGGCACAAAACTTACCGCTCACGAGGTGCGATTAAAAGAGGAGCTGGAGAAAGATCTTAAAGCTGTCCGCAAGGCGAGGGAGACGTTGGGGGATAAGGCGCCTGCGTTTGGACGGGGGGGTGGAGATAGGGAGGGGAGGGATAGGGAGGGTGGGAGAGATGGGGGGAGGGGAGGGGGGGTGTTGGGGAAGAGGAGAAGGGATGGGGGAAGGGGAGGAGGGGAGGAGAGTGAAAGTGATGTCCCTGAAGAGGTAGCTGGTGTGCCGATGCCGAGGGATACGCCGCCACCTATACCGAAGGAGGTGCTTGATAAATGGTACCAAGCGCGCCGAGACAGATGGGCGGCGAATAACCCGCAGCAGGCGGGTCGGGGAGGGGAGGGGAGAGGAGAGGGGAGTAGCGCGAATGCAATGCCACTTGGTGCGAATGCACGCGAAGTCGGCACCGGAGGCAGGGAAGAGGAGAGGAGGAGGGTTCCCCAGCCAGTGGTGGAGGCGAAAACGGTATACGAAGCTGCGCCGGCGATTAGGGATCTAAGGAAAGAAGCGGTGAGTGCGTTTGTGCCGGCGGCGGTGAGGAGGAAGATGGAGATGGCGGGGGGGGGGGGGGGGTGG